CCCTAGCCGTGGAGCCACGGACGCGGACTCCGGAAAAGTCCAAGAGGACTTGGCAGGCGTAGAGGAGTCCCCACGCGGAAGGGTGGAGTTGGCTGGGCAGATGCTGACGAACCAACAGAAGTCGACCACCATCCGAGGAAGACTGCTTCGGAAGCCGCACAATATGTAGTCGTTGTGGATCGTGCATCGTCGCGGAGGTCGATCGGCCCGATCCCACTTGCCGGGAAAGATGGGCCCGAGTCCAGAGGAGTAGGATAGGTTGGTCAACAGGAGCCTTTCCAGTGAGTCTAGCGTGAAGGTAAAAGGATGGCGGTCGACAGGGTTGGACGCCGAGGGCGCCCTGGCGATTTTGCTCGACCTTGCCCCCGGCCCATGAGAAGTCAGCAGGGACAGGTTCCGATGGGATCTCGGCGATGTCCTGGACTTCACCGTCAGCCTAGGAGTAACGAGCATGCCACTCGATAGACGATGAATTTAAAGCCGACATCTCAATTAATCGAGAAGAGGGATGTGCAGCAGAAAAATATTTTAAGAAGAGAGAATTCTAGGGTTTGCTTCGAAAATGAGGTAAATCCGTAGAATTACGTACTTCACATTTTTATAGAAGAAGAAGAAACTGAAGAGGAACACGAGAGGAATCGCGTCGATCGGGTTATGCCTAAAGTCAGTGGTGGATTAGTAATTATTAGTCTCTCGAGCCGTGCGTGGGAAGTGACGTGCATTTAATGCGGAAAGAGAAATGGAGACCGCCACAGCAGGAAAAGTGACTGGCGGCTCTCGAGGAAGTGGCGCACGCTACGTAAAGTGACGCGCTATATCTCGAGCCTCCAAGGGTTCGCCACGTGGATCGCACTCTCCAAACCCCGAAGATTTTCACGAGAAAGTTCGAGAGAAAACCACCAACCCTACTAAAATTCTTCTGAAGATCAATTGACGAACCATCACAACGGTATGAAACTCGCGTCCTTACAGGATAACCGCCATGCTCCCGGGAGGAGCCGACCCCGGGGATAGGTTGCACAAGGGACACGCCTATAGGTCAAATGTGACCGTCTGGGCAGCGCAGGCCCCGTGGCGGGTTTCAATGAACCTGTATCCGCAGACAAAACGTGATCGTCCCTCGCATGATCTCGGTCGCCAGGGTTACGCTTACTTGCTTAATTGTCTGATATCTTGCTTGCTTGATTGTCTGATTTCTTGCTTGCTTGATTGTATAATTTCTTGCTTGCTTGATTTCTTGCTTGCTTGATTTCAACCCATCTTTTATAAACCATTATTCTTATAGTCCAATCAGTTCTTGAAGAACCCAACTCACTAATTCTAGAGATACCGGCCATTATAAGGTTTCAGAAAACAGACAAAATTTGATTAAAGATATTTTTTTCTCTGTATATATCGAAAATATTTTAGTCTGTTATGCTACAAACTGACTGCGCCCATGGCTTTTTTATAGTAGAGTCTAGAAAAGAAGTCGGATACCGAAAAGCTACATTGTCAAAATTCGAATCACTGTGCATGTTGATATATCATGGCTTTTGCTGGTTTTTGACCATGATATAAGTCTTGTTTATAGAGTCTTTTTGGTATTTTTCTAGTCCTATAGAATCTTTGCAGGTCTAGGTACGTTTGGAGCTTAACTGTGGGTTTTTGGAGCCTTTTGGAGCTATGTTGAAGCTGATGCTGAAAAAACCAAGTCGGAGTGTCGATCGACACCGGTCGTGGTCGCGAAGAGAGTGTAAAAACTCATTGGAAGAATTTGCAACTTATCCCAGAAGTTTCCCACTGTTTGCACTTTTGCCCCAGTTCGTGTTTAGACTTGTATTTAGGTTTTCTAAGCCATTTTTAGGCTATTATCTTGTTTTCATTGAGACTAAGAGGGAGATTAGATTGAGAGCTTTTGGGGAGGCAAATCCATACTCTGTAGAGAAGAATTTCAAACCCCTTCATCTTTTACTCTATTTTTTAATGCAATTTTATTCAGTCGTGATTTGTGTCTCACTTGCTATGTCTGAGTAATCTGCTAGTTAGGTTTTAGGTTATTCAAAGGTTGATAATGAATTGTTAGAACTACAAAACTGAAGGAATAAATCCACTGGTCCTTTATCTAGATTGCTTTAACACTGGTTTTAAGATTGATCACCTAGAAATCAGATCTTAGGTTTTTTAATAGATGTGGAAACATTGTTAATCACCAGTACTATCTTAGATGAGCAAAATAACTGATTGCAAAGGAATTTGGATTAGTGATTTTGTGAACATATCGAACCTGGACTATAATGCTTGTTTAGGTTGTTAGAATTTGCAAAGGAATTTGGAGTTCTAGAATCTAATCATAGTTAATCTCTGCGATGGAAGTCGATTGGTTTTACATTAGTGTTTTCGAGTTTTAGAACGGTTTTAATAAATATTCCTTTCAGTTTGTAGTCTGCAATTTATGTCAACCTGCGATTTTCCCATTGCCTAGCGCCTTATCTCTATTGATTTTAAGAACCTACAATCTGCCCCTGATTTCATTGCTTTCATTGCTATTTTAGTTTTATTTATTATTGACTGCTTAGCTTTATTTGAATCTAAAATCTGTTGAGTAATAACCTTAAGTCTTTGTGGATTCGAACCCTAAGTACTACAGTGATCTCTTAATTTGAGAGAGTAGCTCTAAGGATTAATTTGAGCATATCAAATTTTGGCGCCGTTGCCGGGGACTTAGATATTACTTTCAGATTTTTAGTTTTAGAATTTTGACTAAGCTTTTATTTTCCGTTTACTAAATTTCTTCACTTCTCTGTTGTCTGTTTCAGGTGCATGCATAATCGCAGTACCAGGAGCAACAAAGACAAAGAACTTGTGACTCTAGGCATCGACGAACTCGCCAAGCTAGAAAGAACCATCAGGAAAGCCAAAAAGCAAGATGGTTGGACCACTTTTTTTTAGGACAGATGTTGAAGGTCATTTAGTTGACAGAGAAGGGAAACAGAAGAAATGAGGATGGGCAAAGGATAGATGACAATGTCGTTGTGATTGAGGAGCAGAATGTACAAGAGCAAGCTGCTGGAGATGCTGATGGGCGTCATCCGCAGAGGACTCTAGGAGATTACTACAGGCCTGATCAGTTCTATGCAAATAGAGCTGCAATCCGCCCACCAGCCTTTCAGAGGAATGACTTTGAGCTGAAACCCAGTTACTACCAGCTTGTAGGTCAGCACCCTTTCCATGGGCTTCCACATGAGCACCCAATGGATCATATAGAGAAGTTTGAAGACCTGGCTACAAGTGTTAAAGCCAATGGAGTCACCAATGATTTCCTCTTTTGTAAGCTTTTTCCTCATTCTTTGGAAGGAGATGCATCACATTGGCTCAAACAGCTGGAACCTGGCTCTTTGACCACGTGGGAGGACACCAAATCTGCTTTCCTCAACAACTTCTATGATGATGCAAGGTCAGAGGAGTTGAGGACAAAAATCACCACATTCTCTCAAGGTCCAACTGAAGCTTTCAAAGCAGCCTGGGTGAGGTTCAAGCTGTACCAAAGGGATTGTCCACACCATGGTATCAATGAGTTCAGCTGCTGGGTATTTTCTTCAGAGGTGTTGATTGGAAGTACCAGATGGCTCTGGATGCAGTAAGCAATGGGAACTTCAACACCAGAGTCCCAGCTGACGCCATCAAGCTGATAGAGAACCTAGCTTCCAGTAACAGCACTAAGAATGCTGATTTTGAGAGACAGAAAAACGCTGGCAGTGCAGGAAGCAATCAGTTTGCTGCTGAGATGAAGGCTAAACTGGATTCTGTTCATAACCTTTTGATGGGTAAGAAGTCTGTTCAGTTTGCTGCTGAGATTGAGACATTTGAGCCAGCTGAGGAGTTTGAAGAAGAAGATGTCAACTACATCAATGGAGCTGGCTTTCAGGATCAAAGGTACAACAATCAGCAAGGAAATAGAGGATTCAGTGGGAACATGCAGAGGAGCAACTTTACAGGGAACCAAAGTTCTTCTGGTTATACACCCAAGCCTCAATTTCAGAAATCTGAGTACCAGAAGCCTTACCAGAACAACAACTTCAACAGAAACTATGGTTTTCCTTAGCAAAGTTTTGATACAACACCAACTTCCATTCGACTGCACGAATGATCCTGTATGAGGCAGTTTATGGTCAACCTCTTCTTCAACACCTTCTCTATTTGCCAGGTGAAAGCAAAGTAGCAGTTGTAGCAAAGAGTTTACAAGTTGTAGTTGCCACCTACAAGTAGAGTCCATGAACACTAAACTTGTTGAAAATGCCTGTTGGGGATACATCCGTGAGCACTAAACTTCCTTTTATTGTGTTTGATGTACTTATCAGGACCCCAGATCATATCTTGGATTATCAGATGGTTAATCGGCAGGGTAAACCCGTTATAAAAGTTCTGGTGAAATTATCAAATGAAAATGAGAGTGAGATTACGTGGGAGTTCCTTTATAACATATTGCAAAAGTATTATTCATTCAACCACGAGGACTTGGTTGTTCAAACATGAGGATTTGATATAGAGACGGATGGGGAATGTTCATTATTGTAAAACAAACACAAAAATAGAAAAGAGAGAAAATGTTCATTTATCAAAAAATTATTGTAACTTCGTCTTCTTCCTCTCCATCCTTTCTGTAATTCGCTTAAAAACCATTTTCATTCAATTTTGGAATTCTAAGGTTTGAATTCGTTTGGGAATAATGATTATTGCGATTCATTTGAGTATAATTTTGATGTATCTGAATGACAACTCAACACTGAAGTTACAACAGTCAAAAACTCAGAGCGACAACTCATCTCTTTAGAATGGGTCCCATAGACATAAACCACAAAACTTCAAACACTACTTATCTTCACTTTCATCTTTACTCGACTCTCTTACCTCCTCCTTCTGATCTCTATATATCCGCCATTTAGCAAAAACCTTTTAAACGCCCAAAAATAAAAACAAAAAAAAATATGACAGAAAAAACTGATATTTTTAACGAGCTCATGGTTTTGGTCTCGATGGAAACAGGAGCGAAAGAGCTCGTCGACGCCGAAATTACCGAAGTTCCTCGAAGTTTTCACTACCCTTCTTCTACTATATCCAACAACAGACCTGATGATATCTCCGGCTTAAACCTCACCTTCCCAATCATCCATCTCAGAGAAATAAACAACGAGAGAAACGCCATCGTCTCGAAGATCAAAGACGCAGCAGAGAATTGGGGATTTTTTCAGGTGATCAATCATGGTGTTCCTTTATCAGTTCATGAAGAGATAAACAAGGAGTTCGAAGGTTTCACGAAGAAGATCTGAGGTGAAGAAAAATTATTCCTTTTAAGATCTCAACCAGAAATTTGTTTACAACAAAAACTTCAATCTTAGTTATTAGAGATGAGATTCATACCTCATCTCAAAGCCTTGCATCAATAGGCCCACTTCAAAAAATCTTTAAAAATATCTAGGTCGACAAATATTCCATTTATCCGATCAAATTCCGAAAAAGACGGAAGGTCGGCTTTATTGAAAAAAAAGTTTTCCTATTTCGGACAGAAGAAGTTATCTCCAGAAGTTTGGTATAAATACAGAAATCATCTACTTCCTAAATAATTCAAAAACTCTCTCTCGAGATCTAGGGCAAACTAGCAATCTACTGTTCTTAGTTCCCGAGTTTTCATTCATATTTTAGATCAGCGTTCTTATTCCGACGACATAAAACCACCGTCTACTTTCCTGAGCTTTAGCTTAAATCTAATAAAGATTTCTCTTTAAATCCACTAACTCTTGTTCACTCTTTAGATCAGATTTGAGTTGTTACAGTTGGCACCTTCTGAGAGGAATAAGAGACTCAATTTTTAAGGAAGCGGAGCTCGAAGATGGTGAAACACCCATCGATTCTATTACCACCGGTTTCGCAGGAGAAAACACAAGCCTCCCCGGCGACAACATCTCAGATCGGCTCATCGACCCAATAACCGGATTACCTCTGGACGGCCAGACCGATGTACAGACAGAAGATCCAACTGCTACACAAAACACTCATGGGGTTTCAGATCGGCCAGACAGCCAGGATAAATCAGACCGATCTGCCACAGCCACCTCCCATCGACATGGCCGGTCTCATCAGATGAGCGTTGTCAGTCTGATTCATCCCGGCTGTCTGGCCAACCTGATTCATACCATGAGTGTTTTGTATAGCAGTTGGATCTTCCATATGTACATCGGTCTGGCCGCCCAGAAGTAATCCAGTGATTAGGTCAATGAGCTGATATGGGATGTTGTCTCCGGGGAGGCCGGTGTATTCGGCAATACACCGAAAGAAGAACTGCAGAGGGCACAGGTGGAGGCCTCTAACGCCCGTTCCTCGAGGAGCCGCTGAAAGACTATATCTATCACAGAGCCACTGGAAGACTACATCAATCGTCTCTGATCCATAGTTTTTCAATGCAGCCTGTCGGACGAGCTCTCTCTTAATATCTTAATCAAGAATTTGAGGGACGACTAGTCGTACTGCGAGAGATTGTTGACTGAAAAAACTAAAATCCTGGATGACGCTTTACACAAAGTAACCGGCTACATCATGCTCGAGGAAGACAAAACTGCCAAGGCCAAATTGGCCAACGACGAAACAACCCGGGCTGGAACACCTGGGATCACCAGAACGCCAAGGACCCTGAGAGTAAGAATCTGTACTGCACTTACCATAAAGTGCACGGCCATCACACAGATGATTGTCGTACTCTCACAGCCCTCTTAAGAAAAAAATGGGAAAACAGTGAATGCAGCTTGCTAGAGCCACGAAATCAGGCAAGACGATCTGATAACAATCAGGACAGACGTCCTGTCAACAATCAGATAGACGTCCCGACACTGATCAACCATTCGTAAAGCGCAAAGGGAAGGAAGTGAAACGAGATCGGCAGGACGATCATACACCTCCAACCTCACATCGACGACGGATCAACATGATCATGAGCGGACTTCTCTCCTGCACTATTTCCATCAATTTGATCAAACGGCATAAGCGAAAGGCTGCAAACCCACCACAGGATGCTCCGCCGTTATTCAAGGACGACATCTCAATCACATTCACTGAACAGGATGCACAGGGTATAGATCAATTTCACAACGATTCCCTTGTTATCTCACTTCGCCTCAGCAAAGATGACGTCTCCAAAATCTTGATCGACACAGACAGCTCAGTCGATCTAATTTTTATGGACACTCTGCAAAAGATGAACATCACTGAAGAAGACATCAAGATTGCACCATCGCCGCTTATGGGTTTTGCTGGTGATGTCGATCTCAACGATCGGTACGATTACACTACCTGTTACCATTGGTGGAAAGTCTGTGACGGTTAAATTCGAGGTCTTCGACCGACCTCCGATCTACAACGCTATCCTGGGCTCGCCTTTGCTAAACACCATGCGAGCTGTCCCATCCACTTATCATCAATGCATCAAGATGCCGATCAGAGGCCGTATCTTCACCATCCGTGGCGACCATATAGTCTCTCTACATTGCTACATCGATAAATAACGTGCTCGTAATGCCTCTACCTTCGTCATCAGCAATGGTCACGATTTTGACCCATGTATAGTTCACCACGAGAAGCCGAAAAGCGATCTCGTTACTCAGGTGAACATCGACAATGCTCATCCTGAACGTTGTGTCAGCATCGGTACAGAACTACTGCCAAGCATGCAGGACGATTTACTCAATTTTCTTCGGGAGAACTTTGGTACTTTCGCATGGTCAATGGCCAATATAAAAGGAATCAGCCCTGAAATAACCGAACAAAAACTACATGTCAACCCTACTTTCAAGTCGATCAAACAGAAGCGACAAAAGCTGGGATATGAGCAAGCACAAGCCGTACACGACGAAGTGGACAAACTTCTGAAGCACAGATAGATTGCCAAGGTGAAGTACCCGGACTGGTTGGCTAACCCGGTGGTGGTTAAGAAGAAGAACGGGAAATGGCGGGTTTGCGTCGACTTCACCGGCCTCAACAAGGCCTGTCCTAAGGATAATTTCCCACTTCCTCGCATCGAGCAACTAGTCGAGGCAACTGCAGGCAACGAAATCCTTTCGTTGATGGACGCCTTTTCCGGTTACAATCAGATCCTCATGAATCCGGACGATAGGGAGAATACAGCTTTCATCACTGAACGAGGCACCTATTACTATAAAGTAATGCTCTTCGGTCTAAAAAAATGCCGGAGCTACGTAGCAGCGCCTAGTGAACAGGATGTTCGCCGATCAATTGGGCAAGACAATGGAGATCTACATAGACGACATGCTTGTCAAATCAGCCAAGGCAGCCGACCACATCAATCATCTCCGAGAATGCTTTCTTATACTCAATAAGTTTGGCATGAAGCTCAACCTTGCGAAATGAACTTTCGCAGTCACATCAGGAGAATTCTTAGGCTACTTGCTTACACAGCGTGTGATTGAAGCCAACCCCAAACAGATCTCTGCAATCCTGGAGCTGCCTTCACCAAGGAACACTCGCGAAGTCCAACGTCTCACTGGCAGGATAGCCGCACTGAACTAATTTATATCGCGATCTACTGACAAGTGCCTGCCTTTCTATCAACTCCTTCGAGGCAACAAACGGTTCGAGTAGGTTGAGAAGTGCGAAGAAGCATTCCTGCAACTCAAAACATACCTATCAACACCTCCAATCCTGGCCAAATCTGAGCACAACGATACTCTACTTCTCTACATCGCAGTTTCTAGTGCGGCCATCAGTGGTGCCTTAGTTCGAGAAGACTGTGGTGAGTAGAAGCAAAACTTTGGACGGCGCTGAATCTCGCTATCCAACCTTGGAAAAGCTCGCTTTTGTAGTTATCGTCACCTCCAGAAAATTACGCCCTTATTTTCAACCGCATTTGTTAGCCGTTCTAACTAGTCAACCTCTTCAGACAATTTTACAAAGCCCAAAGCAATCCGGATGCATGGCAAAATGAGCGATCGAACTGTCAAAATTCGATATTGAATACCGGATGCAAACCACCGCGAAATCCCAAGTCATGGCGGATTTCCTCATTGAACTGTCACCCGAGCTTCTGAATACTGAACCGGAAAATTCCAAAAGGTGGATTCTACACGTCGACAGAGCATCATCTTGCTTGGGATATGGCATCGGCATCCTATTAGAGTCTCCAACTGGAGAGCTTCTCGAGCAATGTTTTCGTTTAGAATTCACTGCATCAAACAACGAGGCTGAATACGAAGCACTAATAGGTTGTCTTCGTCTTGCCCAAAGAATGAACATCCAGCATAAACAAGCAGAGAATACGACGCCAAGGACGATCATATGGACGCCTACCTGAAGCTAGTGAAGCAATTGGCAGCAGAAGTCACATTTTTTGAGTTATTTCAAATTGACTGATCTGTAAACAAAGTTGCCAATGCTTTAGCAGCCCTAGCATCGAACAAGGATTTTGCTCTTAGAAGAACTATTCAAGTACTAGGAATTTCTCAATCGAGTATCACCCCGGTTTAAGAAGTATTCCAGATTACAACCGCTGAAGGTGGAACCGTTCCTGCTGCGATAACTGCCGAACAGCCAACGACGGACTGGCGAATCAAAATCCGACGTTTCCTCGAAACTAGCGAATTACCAACCGAGAAGTGGGCCGCTCGGCGAATCCGCACCCGTAGAGCCAAATATCCAGTCGTCGAAGACGTCCTCTGCCGCTGGACAGATTCAGGCTACTCACTTGCTTGCATGGAGATAAAGTACAGCGATGCATCAAGGGCACTCATGATGGTGCCGGAGGAAATCACTATAGTGGACGAGCCCTCACCCTGAAAATAAAGAAATACGATTTTCTGGCTGACCATGCAAGAAGACTGCGAGAAATACGCACGAAAATGCGAGTACTTCTAATGACACACCCTGATGATTCATAAACCCACCGAATTTCTAACTCCGGCGATCCCTCTGTACCCTTTCATGCGTTGGGGGATGGACATCGTCGGACCTATGATCTCCTCCCGCCAGCGCAAGTATGTGCTAATCATGACCGATTACTTCACCAAGTGGGTCGAAGCTAAGGCATTCGCCAATATTATGGAAGCCAAAGTACAAAACTTTATCTAGAGATACATTATCTGCCACCACGGTCTCCCTTATGAGATCGTCACGGACAGTGGTCCCCAATTTATATCCAAGAAATTTGAAGACTTCTTTGAAAAGTGGAAGATCCGCCTCAACAGATCCATTCCCCGTCACCCGCAAGGCAATGGCCAAGCTGAAGCCACCAACAAGACCATCCTCGATGGCATTAAGAAGCGCCTTA